TTATGAACAAGGAAACAAGCTCAGAGAAGTTACGCTATTCCAAGATCACCAAACTAATACATAGCAGTGTCGAGTTTTAAAAGACCAGGTCTGTAGGATTCCAAAATCTGGGGTCTCTCTAATGCACAAGTTTTCCTATAAACATTGCTTCAAAAAGGAGGAATGAAAACAAATCGTATGATCCTGTTCAACAAAGACAAATTCTGCTCTTTTCGAAACCTAAGCATCCCTGAAACGCTCATAAAGAAAACTTGAGCAAATTACAAATCTTGTTCTAAATTTAACTGGAAAGCTCTGATATGAATCTTCCCATAAAATTTTTTTTTAAATCCCTTTATTCCTTTTTTTTTTAAGTGTACTTTTGCATATAAAGTTTTTCCTCTATATAAGTTGGAGGTTAGATAAAACCTCAGTGATATTCTAGAGTAAAGAGACTATGAAGAGGGTTCAAGCAGCAGAAGAAAGGTGTCCTCTGAGGTCTAAGACTACATTTGATTAGTGGTGGACAAAAAGCGAGGGGTGTAAACCTAAGTACACTTAATCTTTAGGTGAAATTTTAAAAACAAAATATTATTTTCCTAACATGATCCATTTTTTAAAAAAGCTTCTTTTAAGCTATATTTTGGTCTAGAATGGCCAACTCAGGAGACCATCCCCTCTCTCTGGAAAAAAGAGAATAAATAAATACATATCCATTGAGAAGTCTGACTCTTCAATGAAGGCTGATAGCACAAGTACATCAAGAAAACCAAAAGTTAACTACTGGGTCATTTCGGTTTCACGACACTACCTCCCCCAGAAATAATAAATATTAGGATGTGAAACTTATCAAAATTAAAGTCCACAGGGCCTAGTAGGAAATGGAACAGGCCAGAGCCAAAGGCAGCTGTTTAAACGACAGAGCCCCAGGCATGGTGGGAACTGGATGCCTTCCTGCGCCCCTTAATCAAGATTGAATTTCTGTCAACAGGTCTCACAAAAAAAAAAAAAAAAAAAAAAAAAAAACCTGTTGATATGCGTCAACCACATTCCCCCAAACAAATCAAGCTGCCAAGCAAGAGAATTAGCTTCACATTTCAAAATTATCTGAATCTATCACAGTTTCAGATTCTTGCAAAACTAGAAATACTCTGTTGTATGACCAATATTAATGACCAATTAATGACCAATATTCCTACAAAGACCCAAGGAAAAAGCCTATCCTGTATGCTATGAACCAATTAGGTTCCTCTAAAAACTGCCTATTCAATGTCATCCATCATGTCTTATAGCCCATTTTTGTTTCCAAAAAGCGAAGACTAAAAGGACAGATAGATAGATAGACAGACAGAGATATAACTATAAAATCTCTTGGCCGGGCACAGTGGCTTAGGCCTGTAACCCCAGTACTTTGGGAGGCCAGGGCGAGTGGATCACGAGGTCGGGAATTGGAGGTCAGGCCAACAAGGTAAAACCCGTCTCTACTTTAGTAGAGTAAATTAGCCGGGCGTGGTGGAGACGTGCCTTTAATCCCAGCTACTCGGGAGGCTGAGGTTGCAGTGAGCCGAGATTGCACCACTGCACTCCAGCCTGGGACACAGTGAGACTCCCTCTCAAACAACAACAAAAAAAATCTCTTCCCTCCAAGAACACACAGTTGAATGGGGGAATGCAAACGATTACAATATAGGCCTATCCTTGCTGCAAGAGGGCATAAACAGAGAGCACTCTGGAAGTGCAGAGAAGGACAACAGGATAGAAGAGGATCAGAGGTTTTCTGATGTAAGTAATACTAAAAAGACGCTGACAGACCTGCAGAGTTCTACAAGCTAAGAACGAACGTTGACTTTTTCTAGAGTAAGAGATAAATGGAAGGGGAAGACAAATACAAATTAGGAAGACTGCAGACAAAGCAATGTAACCTGTTCCCACATTCATCTGAAATTAACCTCCCATTGCCTCCCATCTTTCTTCACTCTCAAACCAAAAATAACTAGTCTTGACAAGCTCTATAAATCAAAAGGTGCAGGTTCAGACCGGGTGGGGGAAAGCTGCAAGAGCGTGCATTCTAAGCAGGGTAAAATAGTGGACTACCAGCTCCTAAGCAAAACAAAGACTTTGGTGTGACAGATGCTCTCAAACACCTTGCTATCCAGCCAGTGAGATATGACTTGCCTATTTCTATTAAAGAGAAAGTCATGAGTTAAACTGGTAATGTAATAGAATAAACAGAATAAGACAAGACTTCATTAGAAGTATAGTTAGTTAAGATGGTCCCATCCCAGGCAGTGCCATTTCTCCAGGGACATCCTCTCCTACTTTCACAAGGGATAAGAGATCCTATTACATTACCACAAGTAAAATAGAGTGGAGTTATTTTCATCTTACCCAGGGAGAAAACACATACATTTTTTTCTTGTATATAAGGGATTAGCAGCAGTCAGTAAATGGCAACATAATCCAGCATGCAATTTTTAACTGTTAATCAAAGTCACAAACTAAGTCTGAAGGAAGTTTAATGGACTTTGTGTTTCCACATTTATGTTTGCTAACTTCTATGTTGAAATTGGATCTGTTTACAGAAACAGATCTATGAAGCTTCCAAAATTGGGTCAATTTAAAATCCAATGACAATCCCTCACTGTCCAACACTCAGAAGTCAGCACAGGACACATGGACACTTGTTCTAATTCATCACTGTCCAGAAACTTCAAGCAAATATATTTCCTATCATTTCTCTCCCAAACTTGTATGTTTCATACTGCCCTTTTTTAAGGGTTACAAACTCAGTTTTGCTTTAATTTATCCACAGAACTCAACAAACCACCTATGACTAATAGGACCTAGATAGAAATCAGTGATGCTGTTTACTACTAGGACAAATAATGACACAGAGCTTTGTAAAATACTAAAAGGAAATCTTAGCAGAATCACAAAGTGATCTGATATTCCAATAGTATGAAGCTGAAAAAGTGTGTAATGGTTGACAGTGGGGCTGCAGATTACAATCCTAGTCAAATGGTAGTCATTTCATTTTATAGAGATTTATACCCTTCAAAAGGTATCTGGTTTGGGGAATACACACAAACACCCAAACCCAAGAACCTAATAAAAGTATTTATTAGATGGCTTATGCCTGTAATCCCAGCACTTTGGGAGGCCGAGGCAGGTGGATCACCTGAGGTCAGGAGTTCAAGATCAGCCTGGCCAACATGGCAAAACCCCATCTCTACTAAAAATACAAAAATTAGCCAGGTGTGGTGACACACCGGTAATCCTAGCTACTCAGGAGGCTGAGGCAGGAGAATCACTTGAACCAGGAAGGTAGAGGTTGCAGTAAGCTGAGATTGTGCCACTGTATTCCAGCCTGGTCGACAGAGTGAGACTGTCTCCAAAAAAAAAAA